TGGGATGTACAATGTGAAGTGCTCACTCGCAGGGTCATGCAAGTGCAGGGGATGCACCACCCAAGCCTGAGTGCCTCGTTCAATGTCGTGCCCTAGACGCCTCAGTTGCCTCAGCAGAGCCTGGCTCTGGTAGGGACTGAGGGCTGCCAGATCAAGGACGCTTTTCCCTTCTTGTTTTACACTTAGACATATGCGTTCAAGTTCCTTGCTACTCCAAGTGTGGTACATGTGGACCAACAGCATTAGCACCACTTGGGAGCTTGTTTGATGTGCAGAATCTCAGCTCTGCCCAGGCCTTCTGAATCAGAATCTGTATTTTCACCGAATCCCAGGGAATCTGTGTGTACCTTAAAGTCTGAGAAGAACTGGGCTAGCCAGCATCCAGCATAGTTCCTATTTTCTTGTGGAAGAAACATTCAGAGACAACTGATGTCATTGCCCCACTCGGTGGGTACACGCACTGTCTGTCCTTTAGAGGACTGTGTGGTCTTTGCTGAGAGACTGAGTTTCAACTGGTGAAGCAGTCGAAGGTCAGCCTGATGGAGAAGAGGTGGTTCCCTTGGGACAAAGAACAATTTGGGGAAATGTTTAAAGGGAAGGGAAAGGCTAGTGGGTCTGAAATTGGGAAAAGAGCAAGACAATGAAGTGCTAATATTCAAACCAAGGAACTCAAGTCCCATGGGGATGAAGAATAACTTGGTATACTATCAAAAAGGTTTTCTCCAAGATGTTTTAGTGAAATCTGTTATAAAACTGAGAAGTTTGGATTAGGTGAATTATATAATTATATGAGGGCAGAGATAAAATAGAAGGTGAAGTGAGCAAGACACTCAACTCTTCCTCTTCCTCTACTCATAAAAGGGTTAAAAATAGAATCTGGCCCTAGCCAGTTTGGCTCAGTGGTTGGCGTGTCGGGCCGTGGGCTGAAGGTCCCGTGTTTGACTGCGGCCAAGGGCATGTACCTTGGTTGCAGACTTGTCCCTGGCCCCAGTCAGGACAAGTGTGGGAGGCAACCAATTGGTGTGTCTCTCTCGTATCGATGTTTCTCTCTCTCTCTCTCTGAAAAGCAATGGAAAAAATATCCTCAGGTGATGATTTAAAAAAAAAAAGAAAAAAAAAATCTGTCCGAGTGTGACCATGTAAGTTGGCAATATAGAAAATACAAAGGAATCGACTCTGTTCAGTGTTTCCATTAACCAGAAGTCAATTAATAAGCATCCTGCTATATGTTACTTTTCCACTTATATTAGCAAGTAAAATTGAAAGTGAACAGCAAAGTAATATATAGTGGCATGGCAAACATTATTGGCTGGATAACCCAATATTTATTTACAACTCCTTTCTTTCTGGCCTGTCTTCATTACAGAGCATCGAAAACCTGAGTACTTGCCTTCCTAGAAAAGGTGGCCATGTGACACAGTTCTGGTCAATGAGACCTCTGTAGAGGTCTTTAGAAACTGGAGAAGCCACCACTTTCTGGAGAATAGATTCAGAGTGATCTTCCCAGGACTTGGAGTAGGGTGAGGAGAGCAAGACATTCCCCTGGGTACGAGATTGATGAGGGTGGCAAACAGCTCAGTAATCAAGATATTTTATTGCAATATTTAAAAGAATAATTTTTCATGCAAAAAAAAAAAGTCCATGATGAACAAAACATCAACATTTAAAGTAAAGATAGGATCTGACACCACCAGTACCAGAGTAGAGTGGGCAAATGATGCCGAGTCCTGCAAGTAGGTTCAGATCACCCTACCTTCCAACTCACAGTCTGGGGTGGGTTGGTGGCATCTAGGTTTTGTGCCTGCTTCCTGACAGCAAAGGAATCAAGGAGTGAGGACATCTGGAATTTTCAGTTTTAGTGAGAAGTGGGAAACACATGAAAGTGATTCGGGTAGTCAAAAAGAATGACAAATGTCCACTACACTTATCGGAGTCATGGTTAAATGTCATTGTTTGGGGTCCGTGCAGACAGCAGCATTTTCTGGCTGGCCTGTTTTGAGGAAAACTTCAGTAGTTATTAGAGTTGAGGTACAGATAAATCAATATAGGAATGAATATAGAGAGGAGAGAACAAAATCCCTCTCTGAAACTGGCAAGGCTCCAAGGAGAAGATAAGGTTTGAACTGGGCTTTAGAGGGAGGAAAGGGGAAAGCAGAAGGAACATTGCTTTTGCAGTCAGAAAATGGGGTTCACTACGTTGCTACTTGCTTACTAGTTGTGAGAATTCAGGCAAATCATTGTGGTTCTCTGAGTATTAGTTACTTTATCTGTAAAAACTCATCCTAAATTGGACAGAGGACAAATACTATATGATTTCACTTATGTGTGGAATGTGAAAAACAAAACAAATGAACAAGCAAAACAAAACAGAAACAAACTCATACAGAGAACAAACTGATGTTGCCAGAGTGGAGGTAGGGTGGGGAATGGACAAAAAGGTGAAGGGGGTTAAGAAGTACAAACTGCCAGTTATAAATTAAGTCATGGGACTGTAATGTACATCATAGGGAATATAGTCAATAATTTCATAACAACTGTGTACAATGACAGATGGTTACAAGACTTATTATAGTGATCATTTCGTAAGGTATATAAATGTCCAATGACTACATTGTACACCTGAAACTAATACATGTCAAGTATAATTTTAAAATAAAATTTAAAACTTGAATGTAAAAAAAAAAAAACCACCCTAAAAAAATTCACCTATGTAAACTGCCCAAGAGCTGTGAGGATCAACTGAAATAAAAATGAGTGAAAGCAGTTTGTAAACTGCAAAGCTGTATGCAAACATGTTGCACTGTTATTAAGTCGTAAAGGATGGCTAGAACTTTGACAAAAGGCATTGAGGGAGAAGGGCCTCTGGGCAGAGAGAATGAAAGGGGAGGTGGTTTCTGTATGAGGCTAGACAAAAGGAAACTGGGCTTTGAAGCTGAGAAAGATGAAAGCAGCCCTGGCCCCATAGCTCAGTTAGAGCATCATCCGGATACAGCAAAGTGATGTTTCTCTCTCTCTAAAATCAATAAAAATTAAAAAATAAAAAGATGAAAGCCGTCAAGGAAGGCCTATGTTTTTAAGACCATTAAAGAAACAAAGCCTGGGACCCCAAGCTTGAAGGATAAAACCAAGACCTATGGTCTTATGGTTAGGAGACACAGAGAGAGAGAGAGAGAATGGAAAATCACAAAACACCTGAGCGAATGACTTGCACACACGATGCTTTCGCTCTCCAGATGGCCTCTTAGAAGACCAGCAGGGACCATCTTTGTTTCCAGGAGCCTGACGCGGACTGGTTTAGGACACCGTGCTCCTTTCTCAAGGAATGAGAGCCCAAACCTCTTCACCCCAAAGGGTGGTACAGACTAAACGGCTGAGCGGCCTTGAAAAGCAGCCCTTCTGCGCTCCCTGGGTCGCCCTCCCGGTAGCCCACAGAGCAGAGCCAGCCTGATCCCCGAACACGGCTCGTTAATCATTACTTCGAGGAAGAGTAGGTGGGGTCCACGGCTCCAGCAGACCTTGCCCTAACCCTGTCCCAAACCCCATCCCTAACCCTAAACGCTCTAAAATCACGGAGCGGGGGGCGGGTAGGGCGACTACACACAGGTTTTAACATTTCAGTTACAGGTGGGCGCGGGCCCGCGCAGGAACGGGGACGGGCCCACACGGGTTAAATTCGCGTGAGGGCTGTAATCCAGTTCATTGTAGTGTGCCCACGTCAGTTTCCTGGTTTTGATGGTGTAGTCTAGTTATGCAAGGTGTCGAGGGAAGCTGGGTGGGGGGCAGGTATACGGGACCTCAAATTTTGCAACTTTTTGTGAGTCTAATTATTTCAAAATAAACAGTGAAAACTCGAAACTCAAAACACAAAGCACAAAGGGAGCCCCCCGCCCC